CCCCTCTTTTCAAAACAATCTCTGGGGTACTTTTTGTGCACCTCGGCCTGGCGGAGAATTTTCCTTAAATTGGGACACTGCACCCCTATGAGACTTGTCTGAAAATACCTAGTAAAGTACTAGGCCCGCCCTATCCCACAGTTCTAGGGGTATTTCTGACAGCTGAGCCTGTCATGCCTGTTAATTGTTAATGTTAATACATTTTACTTTTACAGGGAGTTGTATACTCTGGGACCCCCCATTTTTTGACATTTTAATCTTACAAAACTGGTAAGTGCCCCCCCCCCAAAAAAAACAAAGGTAACACTCTCTTTACTGCACTGATGCTGTTTTTTTTAAACTTCACATCGTAAATTGTGAAAAAATGTGACTTTCTTACCGTGGTCACTGACAAACTAACCGTGAAAATTTGAATCCACCATGGCGTGTGGTTAAACACTCACAGTCACAAGTTACCCTCAAAATTCCCTGTAAATATGCAAAACCTTGCCCTTTGACAACATTAACCCTATAGTTTCCGAGTATGATGTCACAGTCATCTCCCAAGGTGAATTCAAAAGTTAAAATGTAGCTCTCCCTTCTATTATAGGAACAGTTAGTGTTAAGCTAGTACCAATGAAAGAAGGCATCAAATCACAACGGTCATGCTATTTAGCATCAACAATCGTCAACACACAAGTAGTGTCAACAAAGCATCAACATCTTGAAAATACCCTCCACAGATTTAAAAGTGGTTTTATCTTATTTTAAAGACTCTCACACTTGCCGTGGTGTAAGAGAAACACCAAATTTGCCGTCCACAGGAAAACAAGATGCAGGCTGGTTGGACTGCACAAACAAGGCCGACTTTTTCACTCAAATTTCAACACTCAAATATCATTTCAGATATGATACATTGATTTTAATATGTAGGAGCCTAATTAACATTGTAAATAAAAAATCTTTGCTCAAGTATGCTTGAATAACTTGTTGACGCTCGGTGATGCTTGTTGACGCTAAATAGCATGACCCAATCACGACTAACTTAAAGGGAGGTCTATGTACCACACTGTATCAGTACATTCTTTCCTGGTTGTAACGGTTGTAGGCCTACTGGTGCAACTGACGGAAAGAGTTCCGTATACAGACAAACTTAATTTTCCCTTAAAATGCTACAACAGCTGTAGAAAGTACTAACATGTCCTAAAAGTGAAATTTAGCTAAGAAAAGTCCGAAGCATTTACTTAAAAACACTTAAGTTTTTTCGGACAAGTCTCACAAGGTTTGTGCACAGGGGCATCAAATGTCCATATATGGAATTCTTTTTAAAAATCTTAATGTAAACATATTACCTACGGTTCATCAGTACTTCTACGTGGCCTTCCAACTCCATGAATGTATAGACCCAAGTTACAGTTTATTGGATGGATTGACTCAAGCAAGCTGTAATTCTGTTTTGAAAAAATGTAAGGAAAAATGGACGGTAAGAGTTCCACTCCTGGATGGACATCGCTTTACACCCTGTGCACAATCCCCGATGAGCACGACGAACTGGACAATTTCAAGCCATTCCAAGTAAATGCTTCAAAATTTCGCTACTAAAGTTGACTTATTTGGACCTATTGCTTTTTCATGGCTGATCTGTCACTGCAGGCCTTGCAGGGAAAAGTTAGTGATGTCCATGTATAGAATTCCACCCAAATGGTATCTGGATTTATCGCCAGCCAACTTTTAACTTGTGATTTCAGTTTTCAGATGAGTTGCGTTGTATGCCGTTGTTCAGTTGTCAGCATCAGAGCAGCACACGTCTCTGGCCGTGTCGGTAGCCTCCACCGTACATGCACTGCGGTCCCCCTCGGTGACATACCAGTTAGAAGCCGGTTGTATTCCTCGCGAGACGAGACTTGGGACGGCGACAGCGTCATGTCAGGAATCATCAGCAGCCCTAACGGCATCGATGTGGCCGGGATGCGCAAAGCCTACAAGGCGGGCCACGAGGCCTTCACGGAAGACGAACTGGTGTCCAAGGAGCCCATCGGCCAGTTTGCGGCGTGGTTTAAGGTTGCTTCGGAGCAGGACAGTATCGGCGAGGCCAATGCCATGACGCTGGCGACAGCTAGCAAGTAAGCCACGATAAGGCCGGAATTGTTGACTTATCCTTGTTCAATTTCTTTTAGTTTAGAAAAATCCTTTTTAAAAACAAAACAAAACAAACTTTTCACTATGCCTTTGCCGACGACATTGAACTCAAATCGACATTAAGGTCTACTTAAAGGTGTTGAATCCGTCTGAAATACCGTATTTGCCACGGTGTGGAAAATTCTTGTGACTGATGTGTATCAACATATTACATTGTATCCTCATTCAATCCTATTTAGTTACTGTTGGCTTGCAAAAGGCAATGTACATTTACTGTGCCGGTGAACAGTGATGTGTGGAGAAGGTGCTCATACTTGAGGGAGGAAAAATTCCTGGTTTTTGTTTTCAGGGAAGGGAGGCCATCGGCCCGCATGGTGCTCCTGAAGGGCTACGATAAAGAAGGATTCAAGTTTTACACAAATTACGAAAGCCGAAAAGGAAAGGAGCTGGTAAGAGACAAGGATGGATCTAACCTGAAAAATGTTGAGGAGGGGGCTCCTAGCAGTTTGGAATTTTTATGTAACTTTTATTGCCTTTCTTGGGGATGAGGTTATATTTTGGGGCTTTTTACAGCCTCTTTGAAGGGAAATGACATATACCAACAGAGTCACCTTTTGCATTTTTTTGAAAATCTTTTGGGGGGCCTTTTTTTGGGGGGGGGGGGAATGGCCCTGTTGGTCTCCTGAAACTGCTCTTGGTAACAGACTTTTCCTGGGCTACCTCCAGTTGAACTTAAAGTACATTATAGCCAGTGGTGTGGATTTGCAGTGAATTAGAACTTGCAAGTTATATTTCCAAAGCATTTCCATTGCCTATACTATTTGAAGTCTCAACTTTTATTATGGAATTATGGATCTACCTGCAAGAAGTTAATAATTGTTATAGCAAGGTCTCCAGTTGGATGTTCTGTAATCAAATGTTGTTAATTTCATAAAGCTTTCTGTGTATACACTGTTCAAGTTGGAAATAAATGTTTATGAACAGTGTCTTTGTATAAAAGAATTTGCCTTGTGATTTTCTGCTCAGATTGACAACCCACACGCTGCACTCTGTTTCTACTGGGAGATTCTCAGCAGATCTGTAAGTTGAATGTCTTGAAGTAACATTTCTAACTTTTTTTGAAAAAAATGTATTCAAAGATTTGCTTTTAATTGCAAATTCAGAACTTTGATCAAAACTTTATCAGTTTCTGATGTAACTTGTTTACCTGCTGAGGATTCATCCACAGAATAGTGTCTGAAATGTTATACGCTTAAATGACCCTCCGGTAATGCCCAAATATTTGACAAAAGGGCACTGGAATCATTTGGACAAAATTGTAAAGAGAACCCAGAGTCACATTTGGCTACAGCTTCTACTTCAGCTATTGAAGGCTACTGAGACGTAGCCATAGCCGCAGAGTGGCTCAATGGCTGTTAGCCAGATTTATCCCCGAAGGAAACAATAGACCTTAAATTCACGAAGAAGTCATTTTCCATTTGGTTCCCTGAATGTGTTTAATAAAGTATAAACTGTTGATTTAGATGGTACCAGACTATTTATGATTGCCATCATTTCAAGCATCCCTTTCAACATTTTTTTTCAAAAGCTGGCTTCAAAAACTAAAGTATTTTAAAGCACAAAATTAATCTTTAGTGTTGACAGGTACTACTTGGTTACGTCTTGAAATTTGACTGTAATTCTTTCATTTCCCTCTCATATTCCGAAAATGAGGAGTTAACCTCCCTTTCAATTTCAAATATGGCTGACCCATGGATAAAGTGTGTACCTTTCTGTGTGATTAAAGATGAATCCCATTCGCTGCTCAGGTGCGCATTGAGGGGCCTGTGGAGCGACTGACGGAGGAAGAGTCCACCAAGTATTTCCACAGTCGACCGCCAACCAGTCAGATTGGAGCCGTCGTCAGTCATCAGAGTACGGTCATAGAAAGCCGAGATGTAAGTGGAACCCACCAAAGGCTTTAATGAGTTGACTGTGCAACCTTTTATTTCTAGAGTAATAACGAGTTGCTCAACCTCATTCCCCAGGTGTCGGGCAGAGTGCCATCATGGCTTCCCCGTCTTGCCCTGGTATGGGGCCATTTGCACAACCAAATATTGGATACATACATCATGTATGTTATGCACCATGGGATGTCTGATCTAAAAAACATTTTCTTTACATATACACTTTCCTATGTTATACACTTGGGTGTATACTTTGGGTTGATTTCCAGTTTTTCCTTTCACATCAGGTTTTGACATCCAAAGACAACGAGCTGAAGGAGAAGTACCTCAGTACAGGCCTGGCCATTCCAAAGCCAAACTACTGGTGAGTTCTCACAGACTGGTCACATCGGCGTGGAACACCCTGCAGAGTGTTGTAGATGGTGACCTCTGAAGACCATCACAAGACCCCACAAGCTAGTTTCAAATGAGCTGCAACGAAAGCTTTCCTCCGTCCTTGCTCATCCTGTTTTTCTTGATCATTCCACATCACAAGTTGGTTGCAACTTTGGGAGGTGCCAGTGGATAGACCAACCCTTTTTTATTCTCCTCTCATCTTTTAACAATATTTACGTCAAAGATTCTTATCAACTCGATGAGAACTCATTGATAGAAATCTCCATGTTGCTTCTGTTACAGTTAAGCAGTATAGCAAAAACTGTGCTAGGAGCTAACAAAGGATTACAACTTCCTCAATGACATTTGTAGGATGAAAAAACCTTTTCTGGAAAAAACTTTGCAAATGTATTGACAAGTTGCAACTCCTAAGAATAGATTTGACAATTTTAATTAGCGACAGAATTTGTTTCATTTATTTTGTTTTATATACATCCTTTTTATTTTTTAATAAACAATATGTCTTGCCAGGTGCCTTCGGTAATGCAGATGACAAATTCCTGTCCAGACTGCACTTTTATAGACTTATCACAATAGAGTAATCCGTGTATCACTCACGGAGTGATATCCCACAGTCAAGAACTTAATTTCGTTCTAATTTGCCACTCAACCAAACAAAATTACATTTTTTTTACTTCTTGAGCATGGTCTTTTGAAAGGTCGACTGAAAGGTCTTGGTGATGGCTGAATTACAGCACTGGTATGACTATAGTTGATTTGCAAGGGTGCCACCTTGCGGGCCAGTGCTTCTGCTCCACAGGGTATGCACAAAGGGGGTTTCCCTGTGGAAGAAAAAAACTACTGTGCAAGATGGCTACAATGCAAAGCCTCGATATGAGTCACTACATTAGAGTTACACTTTGTGATGTTTAACTCAATTTGAAAATTGGCAGCTGTATCTCGTCCTTTAGAAAAAATGGCATTCTTTGGCTGAGAAAACTGTTTCTCGCTAGGACCACTTTGTTGTGGAATAATCCCATCTTAAAGTGGTAACAGCCGAAATTTTTGAGGAATTTATGTTGACAGTTTCGTTCGTTCTGATTTTTCCATCACAGGGGTGGGTTTCAGGGTCATCCCTGAGGTGGTGGAGTTCTGGCAGGGACAGAGTAACCGCCTGCACGACCGCGTTGTCTTCCGCCGTCTCAAGCCAGGCGAGACCGCCGACGGCACGTTTGTTCACGAGGGGGAGAACGGATGGGTGTATGAAAGATTGTCTCCTTGATTAAAGACCTGGGGGGGGGCCCTCGTGTTGAGCTTCGCTTTGAAGAAATCCGATGGTGGAAAGTACTCAAGTTGATAAATGGAAATATCACTGAAAATGAATTCAAACTATTTTCGTTTGGCAGGTAATTTGCATTACTTTATCTTCAAAATTAAGGAATGTGTGCTAAACATTTAAAAAATTGGATGACTCGTAAGATCGGCAAAGGCACAGATTTTATGAGCAGAGGCTGACTAAATCACATATCTGTGTTCTTCACAGAGTTCAGAAATGAAGAACCAAGAATGCTACTGAAAAAAAAGGTAAAAACTTATGCAAGAATGAGCCAATTTGCCTCAAACCAAATTCAACAGGGTTATGGTCCCAGCCAGCGCAAAATGGCTCAAAAGAACTTCTGGTCAGTGAAGGCCATACGTTGGCTTAATATAGTGTGTGGAACCAAGGGGGAATTAACATGGATGTAGTGCATATAGAATTGTACTTTGCTGGGCAGAATCAAGCTACAACACAAATGCAGTGCCCTGTACGTTTACATGTCTGCAGGCTTTGGCAACACGTGTTGTGTCCTCGATGCCACAACCTTAGCAGAATGTGATCTTTGCATTCGGTGCCATGTGGGGTACGGACCAAAAACTGCTTTCTAAGGTATTTTTTGGCAGTTTATTGTGAGCCCTGCCCATCCAGAGTTAAAGTGCACCCCCATGCAGCTAAAGAAAGACAGATGGTTGTAAGTTTTCCAAGCGGGTTCTTGCACGTGTTCCGCGTGTATGCAAAGACCAAACATTAGGGAATAATTTTGTTACGCGTACTCGGCGTGCGCCGCGTAAAACGCTCAATTGATCTCCATTATAAATGCGCTCCTGTGCGGTGAGTACCAAAAAAAATGCCTTCTTTTGTTCCGCTCGGAGCGGATTGGCCCAAAATCCTATGGCTGGATATACATGTATCTTTAGTGTACTATTAAAGTGTACTATGCCAAATTTATCCTGAATTGATCAGTATTATATAAGATTGTGAATCCCCGGCCACACTCATCTCGTTTGGGTCTTAGATGTTAATTTTGTTCATGTACAAAGACTATGTCACATGTTTACCGCACATTGTTGGGTTAGAATTCGGGCTCTTGGAGCTTTCTAAAAAAGTTAGGGTAGAGGATTTAGAAGTTATAAAGTATACCGTTTCTGGAAAGCTGAAGTGGGTACATGGCTGTAGACTGTCCTTTGACAGTTGCGCAAGGGATTAGTTATGACTGATCTCTCATTTCTAGAAATGGATCATTTGAAAGTGCACAGCACATACATTGAATATATTCATCTGTTGTAATTAGTGGGGATCTGATAATCTTAAAAGACAATATTACAGTTGTCTATAATATCACATAATGCTTTTTGTTGATGTCTTTGTCTTGGTTTATCTAAAATAATCATGATGCTAACAATAAAACAATTCTGTGTCTGCAACTGAGCTCTTTGGAAGGAATTTCTTGTTGTTCGTGACGGTAGTGTCTTCAAGTGGGGAGCTCATTTTTAATGTAAGGGTTTGGGCCGGACTCGTTGCCTCCATGTAGCCTGTCACAAAACCAGCATTTTGCTTCCAGTTCAGAGATCCAATCTTTATCTTTGATGTTTGGAGGGGCAGTAAATTACATCAATAGACTTTTCAAACAGCTCGGTATCACAGGACTCATAATGTTAAAACTTCAGTCGATTTTTGAGGGACTTGGACTCAAACTGGCCAAATTCGGACTAGGATTTGTTGGCCTAGGCTACAAAACTGCTCTCGAAGTGACAAGCCAATGATGTACCAGGACTCCTGCCCCTTGGAGGAAGAAAATCTCGTCAAGTCTTCAAGGATGCATCCTCTTTCAGCGGTAACACTTTCTCATGCTCGGCATCCCGCAGAGCCTATGGCAACATCCTGCTGCAATTTTCAAGATGTCTCCAAGAATGCCATCTTCAAAATCTCCCGCTTCACTCCTGTGAAAGGGAGGAAATTGTGGACTTCTTACACGTCTCAGGAACTTGCAGCAATTTCCAAGAGGAAACTGAAACACATTCAAGATGATGACGGCCCCCCCTCAGAAATGTTCTGCTTGTTGTTCACGTATCAGCTGAAAGCGCTTACATGTACATGTTGTCATCTACATTACTGTTAGTCTAAACGTTGAACCATCAATTTTACAGAGGTTGAAACTGGAAGGGGTGGCAGGGAGGTTGGATGCATAATGCTTATTTATAAAGATGCCATGTTTTAAACTCTATGGGTGGAACCAAGCCATCTGTTTTGTTCCAAGAGCAATGACAGTGATACATGTATTGATAAAAAGTAACCATGTCAGCAGTTTTTTTGAGTGAAAGCAACAATGGAAACACTGATAAAACCCCAAAGCAGTAATTGTGTATCAACAAAAGGTATGCAGCATGGGGTTAAGAGTAACTGGCCACATTTCTGTTCTGGAAGTAAGCCTTACCATCGGTGAACGTCTTGCAGACCTGGATGCTGAATTCTTCGCGCTGCCTCACCACATCTTGGAAACTCCTAGTCCCTCCTCCAACGCCGAAGTAGTGCGTCTTGGCAGCAATATATCTGGATAGCCGTCTTTGATTGAGGATGATTAATGACAGTCGGTCAAACCATACAGAAAGGACACAGATTCTGAGGCTGGTGTTTTCTATTTGTGCGAGTGTGTGGCAAATGACTGTAATCTGTGTCCTTGTACGACTTTGTTTCAACATAGGACAGGCATACAGAGGGAACAAAATGACTTTTCCTGTCCTCGATAATCTTTCATTCAAAACTAGTCTTCGAAAGTGAGTGCTTCATATATGAGAGTGTTATGTTGAGAATGATACAAAACATGATGCCACGCCAACTGCGTACATTACATCACTGTGCTCTCTACGGATCGCTTTTCACTATCGGGCTTCTTTCAAACCTGGGAATTTGGCTTGGAACCTTTCAAAAATCCTCTGCAGTTTCGCAAACCAATGGCTGAGACTTGGCACTGAATGTTTCATAGGGAACACAGCCCTATGTACAGTTGTAGTGGCTAGGTCTACTTTCCCAGATCCTGCAAAACCCTCCAAGACTTCCTGATGGATTTTGGAGGATTAGGGAAGAACTTCCCGGGCTTAAACACAGTTTCTCAGCTGTAAGGATACACCACACCATCTCGTCTCAGCAGAGCTCGCAGAATCTTATACAACTTGTCATGTGACTCCAGGCTGTAAATTGTTTCCGAAGTCAGAATGACATCATACCTACAATGGACAAAAAAGATTAGCTAAAAATAAATGGTAAAAAGGAAGCTACGGTACTAAAGTTTGAAAAAGACTTGATGCTGTCAATGAATATGATTTGTTATTAAACTTTTCAGCTGCGCTTACTTTGCATCTGGATGTGCAGAGACTATCTTCTCCTGTACCAAGCTCCAGTCTCCAGAAAAGAATCGAAGGTCTTGACTGGTTGGTGCTTTGTCAGATTGGTTCAATGCGACATTGGGGATTGTCATGTGCTCAATCACCTCCTCATTCTTCAAATAAAAATACAATAAAATAGAGTTTACAATAGCCACCTTCTATGGGAAAAAGGTTACAACAACACTCAGCAATTTTTCTCTATTCCTAAAGGTTTAATATGCATCAAGGTGAAAATATGGTTCTCATTCAAACTTGCCGCTGACCTAGGTCACGACCAGCCAAAGCAATAAACAAGAGGTTAACAGTAGCAATGCTGACTCACGTAATCTTGGAAATGGACAGCAGCTGCTGCTCTCTTGAGGGCATAGATGCCTGGCAGTCCGGCCCCACAGCCCAGCTCCAAGATGTCCTTGTTCTCAAGTGGTAACTCTGCCTCGTGTAGGTAGTGTACCAGATCTATGGAACACTCCCAAACCTTCAGACCACCTTCAGAGATTAAAACACCTGTAATGTGTTACTTGTTCCAATTGCAGACTAAAACCTTTTTGAGACTCAAGGAAATGATACAATTAGTTACCTATTGCAATTAGAGACTCTCAACTCAGAACAGAAGCTTTTTAAAATATGAGAGAGTCTTGAAGGACTAGAGTTTTCTATTCAAGCATTCGTGACACACCGAGCTGAATGGGAAATAAATAACCATCCTTTTAACTTCTTAAGCAGTGACATTTTTCTTAAGGCTGTGTCGTGGAGCTTCTGAGTACATACCAGGTAGCACTGCTAAACAAAATGGTATCCTGGTATCCTTTTTTGCTAAGCAGGAATTTTTTAAACTTAGCAAATTTCTATCTTTAGGCTGCGTCCGAATCACTTGGCTGCAGCTTAAATTACACAACTCTACGGGAACTGGCTGTGGCCACAACCACAGCCTTACACTTACTTTCTAGCCCCAACCAAGTAATTCAGACACGGCCTATAAACCTCCAGGAAAGTGGACGGTACTCAGTAAATTGATTATGCTAAGAGATAAATCCTAGACGAAATTGTCTCTAAACCATTCCAGTATTTGTACACTAATGACGACAAGTAGTACTCCATTTGAAATCAACAGGGCTTAAGAAATCAGGTATGATATTTGAATCTGAAGGAAAAAAGGGGAAAAAAGTTCCCTGCAGACCCCCCCAACAGTACATGTATAAAGACTACAGTACAAAATGTTGAAATGGAGGAGACTCAAATGATGAGAAATGAAAGGAGACAAATTCTGAAATTGTATTAAAATAGGAAAAAAAGACCATTGCCGGTAATGCATGCAGTCAAGGCTGCTAAAATAGGCAAATGACGGAAGCCACGTCCAAACTAACAGTCCTTGGTAACAGTCGGTGATCGTACATAAGCCAGATGGCTACTGGCTCAATCTAACTTTCACAGACCGGGGAATTTCTGCTAGGCACAGCTAAGTAATTGATATGCAGTCCTACCCTCATAAACATTGGGTATGAGGTCGGAGTGACTTTCTGCCGCCTTGGAAATGTCACTGCCATATTCGATGCTGCCAAGCAGTCTGTCAAATTCCACGGCCTCAGGGTTCAGGAAGTGCAACTCCAAGTTGCCAATTTTCAAGGTTTCCACTGCACAAGACTGGGAAAATGAAAACCACAAATACAAGTACCAAAAAATAATATTTTTTGAAAAAGGAAATCAACCACTAGCAACTACAGCAAACTAGCACTCCGTTATTGATTTGATTTTCACCCTGCAACCCTTGAAATTTTCACCCTTTTGTTTCAATTAACATTGTTTCAAGTTTTGTCTCCCTGTTGTCATCTTTGTTTCAGAGCCCTTTTGGTCTTTATGCTCGGGCAAATTTCCATATTATATGAGCAAAACCATCATCCCAGGCACTGGACCTCAATGTTGCACTGAACTGTGCACGAGAAACTAACTGGAATTACTCACATTCTGCTGCAGTAACGTTCTATTTTTGTTGGCAGTTTAATACCGTGTAATTATACAGCAACAAGCCAGGGAGCAACCAATTCTCAGGGGTTTAAAATTTGAACATCACATCTCAAATAACTTTCATGATTGAGGAATGGTTTAAAGATGAACAAAATGTGAATATTACCAAACTTCAAGTTCACTGCATGGGTGAATTTTAGCCAGTTTCAGGAAAGTTCTTTCCACTGGTGCCAAGGGAGTTGAGGTCAAGGTAAATCTAATGTCAACGTCTAGGTCGACATTAACCCTAACCCCCTGGGCAACTGCACTAGAAAGCATACTGAACCTCACAAAATCAAACAGGTTCATGTACTTGTCTATGTACTTGTACATGCAGGTTACTGTACCAAACCTGATAAACTCCAACAGAATGAGCCCGTTGGAGTTTGAGTGATATGGTATGGATGGATCTATGCAGTATAGGATGACTTGCCCTGAACAGTACTTAAATGTCTATGCATTTTTACCATTTACCATTTAGGATATTGGATCACTTGACCTTTGAAGACTCAAATTTTTCCCCATAGATTACCTCAGTTGTTGTCAGAGTGGGAGGGGCGTACAATTCCTTGGCGGGTCTTAAAATGTCCTTGGTCTTGCTTGAATCATCTTTGCTGGGACCTAATATTAGGAAACACAGCGATATGTATGTATATATAGAGATCTGCAGCAGATGTGGACATATGGGGATAAGTCTGCCAAGTTCACCCTGCAGGGGAAACTGGGAAGGAAGAGGCCTATGAGGGAGGTGGGATAGTGACAGCGGCTCTGAAAGCCAAGTGAAATCATAAAAGTAATAATTTGGGCCTCATAAAAATAAATTCATTGTGTGCCAAGGAAAAGGATGCTAGAGGTCCAGGCATGCAAATGTTACTTTATGAGATAATTAGGAGTCAACCTTTTTTTCTAAGTAAAAAAAAAAAATGCAAAATATCTTCGTTTTCCTGCGAGAAACTGGAAGCAAATTTAGTGTTTCTCTTACAGAGTGGTACATGTAGTTGTTAGAGTCTCTAGAATATGATAAAACCAGTTTTAAATCTGTAGAGCATGTAAAGGGAGTTTTCAAGTTGTTGATGCATTAATTGTTGACGCTACTTGTGAGTGTTGACTATTGTTGACACTAAATAGCACAACCATGCAGCTGAATTCTTGCCCAATTTCCAAGCGTTGCTGCACCGGACAAAATTATATGATGGTACATTATACTGTTGATAGCCTACCAGGCAGGAGTACCATGGATACAGCAATTTTCACAAAGGTTCAACTGCATTTCAGTATTTAACTTTAAATGAATCAGAAGTTTTTCAACAAGAGGTTTGACAACAACACTGTATTAAGCTAGGTAGGCCTAGGGCCTGGCCTAATCGGTAACTCACGCAGGCCTGGTACTGTACTGCAGTCACGGTAAGTATAGGCCTAATTAAAATTAGGCAAGCCGTGCAAGATCATGATGATGCAAGTCAAGAGTCAAAGACCACCACGTTTTATTGTAAGCCCTAAATTACCTGAACTTGAACCTACAACGTGATCATCATCACAATTATCTTGCTCTTGTAGGCCTATATCAAAATTAAACTGAAAAGCCATTTCCCAAGTGGACAAACATTATTCTCCCATCTTTAATTTCATCGATGCTCTTGCACGTGTTGTTTTTCAGGTGGTACCCTTTTCCACGTCGTGGGGGTTTCCAGTTGGAAAGAATTGTACATGTTTAAAATTGTATGTAGAACTATGCGGGTTGTGCTTGCAAAACAAATAAACTGACGAAAAATGGAATTTTTTATTTACTCTTAGTTTTTTCTGTATAAATACCAAGGTTTTCGCTGTACTTTTCCCATATATGCACTTGAATTTGTCTTTGAATTCCCTTGCACTCACCCGTTTAGATTATGGAACGATCTGAGAAGAAAGATGGCGGCGCCCATGAAGCTATTTCATTCTCCAGTCAGTTTGGACGCTGTTGCTTGGTCAGAAGACAATAGAATAGCCATTGCAACTCCAAAATGTGTTTATGTTTTCGTAAGTTAATAGGAAGAACAATTGTAATAAAGAAAAACAAAAGTTTTGGGGGTTATTATGTAGAAATTTCTTGACTCCGGGCCCCGTGCCTTGGCTATGCGTTTTATAACTTACATTACAGGCCTATGTCAGATTGTCAATGTCAGTGACGGTGACAGCTGAGTGCCGTAGTATAGTACCCAGACCGTCATGACCGTCATGATAGTCAAAATTATCATACCCTAACATTTAAGAAATAACACTTATTTAGTGACTCCAAAATGTGAAATAAACATGACCCATTATTGAGTTCTTCCCTTTTTCAACAGTCTCTGCAGTGTGACCCATCTGAACAGAATAGTGACTTTGTCTATCTCAAGTCCATCATCAGGCGGCATGCCACCATTTTGGAGTTTGATGTCGGCATTACTTTGAGCACGTTAAAGGAGGATAAGAGACAATACCGTAAGTTAATGGAATCAAATGATTTGCATGAGCAATGGTTCGTCTAAAAGGGGAAAAATTGTGTTTTGACAGATACATCAGTGCCTTGGCAAGAGATTTAAAATATGTCACTTGGCTTTACAGGTGCTACACATTATGAACTCCAAGTGTTTGAAGTTTGGAGGTTATGCAAATTACTTGGGCGTTCGTTGACCTGTATCTCAAGAATAAGCAAATGAAATAAAAAAAAGAAAAATTTCCGGCAGTTTCTCAAACAGGCCAATTGTCACACCAAATATCATTTCGGTCCATGAGGGTCAGCTGTAAATCCTTGTTGAAATGACACGGAATGGCTCACTTGGGACAGCCTAAACTGCAACACTGCAAATATTACTCCTTGGCAGTGATTCGGAGTGTTGCAGAATATTGGATTGCAGTAATTCTGCCGTTATTTAAAAGCTGTCTGATGTCTCTTACATTTTCTAGAGTGAGGTTTTTCAACCCCAACTAATAAGGAGCATCTGAATGGACTTCTGAGTTTTTCTCCTTTTCAGATGTGGTGCGGCCCTTCCTGACAGACCGGACGCTTTGCCCACCTCCGCACATTTGTCAAGAGGACAGTATTGAGAGGAACAGCTTCAAGCTGGTCAGGTGGTCGCCGGCCGGCACCCAGAGATTTGACAGGTCTGCCTCTCAGTCCAAATTGAAATACTACCAAGTTTGAGCCAAGAATCTCTGCAAGAGCTAATGTTTAAATGCTGCAGATGTGATGCAATTCTTGATATATCCTTAAACTGGAAATAAAAGTAACGTTGAGTGATCGGGTATTGTTGCCTTTTTGTTGTCTGTTTCATCGTTTTTTGACAAGAAATCTTTCGTATTTGCTCAGTATTTTATTAGCCTGCTTGGGATTGGATCACAGACTCACAGTCTACAAGAGGACGTCTAAGAAAGGCAAACTGGCCATGGTAAGTTCTGGTAAAGAAGTGATAATGGCAAACTGTCTTGCCTTGAGACGTAAGTTATCTTGTGCTTGAACACAGCCGCAGTCTTGGATGGAGCATGTTGCCTTGATAAACTCTGACCCGAGGTCAGCTAAATTTGAATAACTGAGTGTTGGCAGTCAGAGTACAGGTAGAGCGTACGGCAGCTAGAATCATGACGACCACAACCTGCCACTGTTCAGTGAGGTCATTTCTCCAGCGTAGATTATCTCTGACTTTGTGTCCGTGAGCAAGATACTTTCCCTTCAGAGGACCCCATCTGGCCCCAGATGGAAGTAATGAATCACAGCAGAATCACTGTGATGCAGTATGGGTCAGTAAGCAACAAAATGTTTATACGTGCGGCTAAGTTGCAGCTCAGGGTTATTTTGAAGTTGACAGACAAGAACCTTGAAGTTAGAATGTGAAAGTGGCTGGGCTGTGCATTTGTTAATCCTAACAAATCTTATAAGCCCTATGGTGAAATTGAAGAATCAGGGAAGGTTAGGGTTAACCCCTTCGCTCCGGGAGACGTCGACTGCCACGGCTTTGTGTGAGGATTAGTGCATAGCACACATACACTCTATTCATGATGCACGTGCGGTTTCAACGTGGGCCAGCTGCTGGACAGGGCTTTGCATACTGGGCATACTGCAGCCCAGCAGTCGCGGTCAAAGAAACCCGGCGTGAATGGGTTAATGGTTATTTAATTTCATGAAGTTCAGTGGCCCAAGTGCAATTAGATTTATTCAGCTGTGCTCATCTGGTGTTTTTTTACAGGTTGCGGATCTCTCCCTCGTTTTGAGCCAGCTCCTCTCCCAGCGAAGGTACGCTCATATCAGTGAGGAACCACGCCCTCGTCTACCCACCTCAGCCTCGCCAGAGGCTCAATGCGCAGAATTCAGGCATCGTGTCTACATGCTAGCTGCTGTCAGTAAGTGCAGAGACCACAATGCAAGCACCCCCTCGGTGGTGAAAATGGGAGAGGTGGAGAGGACTACGGGGTGCAGTGGGCCAACCTTCTGCATCTGAAACTTAAACATTCTTTTCGTGAAACAATCTTCCACAACCGTGAATCAGAAAGAAAAAGGCAATTTGCTGATGGCAGAAATATGAAAATATTGTGAATAAGATCAACCGATCATGCACAGATCAAGCGATCAAGGACACTGCTCGAGTGGAAATTAGCATTACTTGGTATAAATAAATTGATTGTTGTTTAATGTGTTGTTTCTGATAGCCGAAATATTGCAGTTGTACCTTTCACTTCATTGACCCGGGTTCAAATCCCATCTCAGCTGAAACTGGTGTTGTTTAAATCTCAACTTGACACCGTTGTTTTTTTCTCCACATTGTTTATCAGTGATTCTCCCCTCTGCAACCAAACATTTTTCCATCATCCTAACCTTTTAGTTTCTCAAGGCTCAAAACTGACAGTACTGTGGGTATTTTGAGGCATCCTTGTTTCATGATCAGACATAAACAGTAAGATAGCAACATTGCCAACACCGGATCATTATAGGCCTGTGAGCGTTGTACAACGTTACAATCATCACCGGAGATATGTTGTGGTGTGTTCTATTTTCTCAGCAATGGACTGGTCCGGTACCTTTGGCCCCACGTCGGGTCTCAACCAGGCAGAGGGACTTCCACTTGATGGCATAAGTGAATACGAGGAAAACTCATTCAGATTATTGGCAGTTGCTATGAAAAGCGGTCACGTTGTAATCTGGAAGTTCCGAGTGCATTTGAAGAGCGAGTAAGGAAGGCTTGATAAAGATATTTTCATTGAGCAAACATTTTGCCTTAGCACAAATCATGGTGCAGCTTACAATGGCTTTCATTCTGTGATCTAATGTACTCATTAACTATTGACAACAGTAGTTATTCAAGCTTATGTTGTCTCTACGTTGTGTTTGAAGTTAAACTAGACTGCAGTAGCAGGTACATCGGTGGTGCATGCACATGGTTGGTTTACTTGCAGACACACCAAGTTGCGTGGATAATTCTTACCTTCATTTTGGATTTTGGACAGGGCCGACATCAGTTTATACAGCACGTTTGACAGTGGGTACCAGTGGCCAGTGTCCCTCTCATGGTGTAGGGAGCCAGCTGTGCTGATTGCCGGTCAAACTACAAAAGGTAAGAAAACTTTATTTTTAGACTTTTGGGTTGGTGGTCAAACTCTCGTAGAGAGGCAACTTCGTTGTCTCCATACTCTGGTTTGTGGAACGTTGTGGCCGTTTGGCCTGCAAAAGTAAACTCAACATCTTTGGGGGCTTGTTTTGTCAATTGTTGGTTTGAGTCCAGCCAGTGTGTTTGCAACAGCTTGTGTTCGTGGGCGAGACATTTTATCACAAGCTGCTTCAAACCCTGGAGTGAATCGGCATCTTTCTGTCTGCAGAGGTAGTTAATGCCTATGGCTTAGCAGCTTGCTCCTTCAGTGGCTCGTTGAGCAGGGGTGACAATAATGCAGAGCTTTGGGAACCCCTGTTAGCAGATACATGCTCTTAATAAATATTCATTGTCATT